TAAAAAAATTTCTGCATTTTCTTTTCACTTGCTAGAGGGCTGTTATGAAAGAAAAGATAGGTTCCCACAATATTTGAAGGTAAAAGATGCAGAGCGTTTCTAGCACTGTTTAAGCAAGGGAATCATGAAATAAAACATATTAGAAACCAAATATGCAAAGAAGAGGAGATATTCTGGTTGGAAGTGGAGGAGAGGGGATGATAAAACCCTCCCCATCCATACCTACCTGTCTCTCAAAATATGAAATCTTAAAAATTCGGAGCCTAGGCACGACCATACTTTATATAACAGATGAAGAAATATTTGACACTGTACTATTAGTTATTATAACAATAGGACTAGGGCGTGTCTCATGTTTCTTTCTATACAAGGCTTTTGAGAGATGCATCAGAACTTGTCACGTGCTACCTCCAGCTCACACCACTCTTTTCCTTATACCATGTAGCTGAGCAGTGAAGGTCAAGGCTCTTAGTTACCTGTTCTCCTACCTGAAAGCATTGCTATGTTGACCACTTGTCTCAGATTTCCCACTCTGTGTCCTTATCCCTATCATTATGCACCTTAACTATTATGGTTCTTAACTATTCTCATTCCACCTACAAAACGAGGAAGCAGCACTGGTTTCCTAGTACATCCCACTGATTGTGAAAGCCCTGGGGCTGAGCTGTCTCTCTTCTTTGTCTCTCAAAATCTCTGATAGTAAATAACAGACCTTCCTCAGTGCCCATAAAAGACCTGGAAATCTGTAATTACAACAGGTGTCCCAGGTGATCCTTAGGCACAAAATGTTTGAGAACCCATGTCTAATGTTACTTAGAATAATGTCCTAGTTTTTTCCTCTCTTCCCAGTAGCTCAATTTAAACCCTTTTTTTAAAAGGGTATTGAACCCCTAAGCCCTGGAACACAAATATTCCTTTGCTGATAACCAGACACCTGCCAAAGGTGGATGGAAATTATTTTGGGGTGGTCCACTTCACAGGATTCCTGTCCCCTTTCCCACCCCTCCCTGAATGGACAGCCCTGAGCGCGAGGTCAGCGGAAGAGTCTCTGTGTCGGACAATGAATTAGCTTTGGAGACTCAAACAACCTCCAAGGAGCACTCACCCCAGTGCTGCCCATGATGAGAAACAGGGCGATGTGGAAACGTCCAAACCCAATGGTCTCCACAGCATCCTCCACGGTGAATGTCTTTGGCTCTAACAAGGAAAGACAAAGGGAAAGGAACAGCCTCTGTGAGAAGGGAATGTGTGGGTTATTGCTCACCCTGGAGGATGTCAGAAAGCCAATTCATTATTATAAAAACTAGTAAATACAGGGTGGGGGCCAAATTAAGCAGCAGCTTGAGGGTCAGAGACTTCTACATCATCTTACCTTTTGGCTGTGGCTCTGGAGTGTCCAGGCTCAACTTGCGAAGGCTAATGATGGTGACCGGCTCTGCCCGCTTGGTTGCCATCTTCTAATAGGTTCCGATTCTCCACACAGCTTCCCTGATGGATACGGAGGAGGGAAGAGGAGAAGAAATATAACTGAGTACATATTCCTCTTTCATCTTCACAGAAAATCTGAAGTAGAAATTATACTTTATCACCATTTTACATTTGAGGAACCTGAAACACAGAGAGGTTAAATGGCTGAGACAACTGGACCCCAGTGGCTAGTAATCAACCCTGGATGGAGGGTCAGGTGAGCTCTTGACAGTCTGACCAATAGCATCCTCTGACTAGGAGTGAAGGTGGGCTTTTGCTCCAGAGAAATCATCACAGTAGCCAGCCTTCCTCATTTCCACAGACCCTATGGTTTACAGTTAACCATGTGTGACAGTGTGCTTTCTTGTGTATTATTTGCATTTACTACCGACAGAAATGCATGGAACACTTCTTTTTTATGCCTTTTTTTGTATTTCACTCTAAAAGGGATTCTTTTTTTTTTTTAAGATTTTTATTGGGGAATTGGGGGATGGGAGCAGCGCTGGGGAATTGGGGGAGGAGAACAGACAAGTTGCTGTCCTTTTGTTCTTCAGTCTAGTCGCGAAGGACATCGCCTCACTGGCCCAAGTTGGCACCATCATTGCGCTCTTCCCGGGCGAGGCAGGTCAGTTGCCGGCTTCTGGATGGCCGCTCACGGCGGTTGCTGGCCGCTCACTACACACGGTAGCCCATGGCAACCCACTGCAGCAGGGACTGTAGCCTACGCCATTGCCAGCAACTCAAGGCAGCTCAGCTCCAGGTTGAGCTATTGTTCACCATCTTAGCTGTAGAGGGCAGTGTCACTGGCCCTCATATGTGGGATCTGAACCGGGGGCCTTTGGCATCCCAAGCCAGCTCTTAAACAACGTGCCACTCGGTCGGACCCTAAAAGGGATTCTTGACCCCAAAAATCAAAAGAAAAATAAAACAAAGAAAGTTGAGTATCAAGTAAGTGATTTTTTAAAAATGACTTTAAGATGCAGTAATTTAACTCTACATCCCTAGTGGGACAAACAGAACTCCTAATCTGGTCTCAGAAATTATATTGTTATATTAGTTTCATTGCTTTGATACTAGTACATATTGTAGGATAAAGCAAGTAAGTATTTATGTTAATATTATTAGGAACCAAGATGTTCAGTGTAAGAGAAAAAAGATACAAAAATCAAAGAACTTATATAAAAATTTTATAATCCTAATTTTGAGTTAGAAACATCAATATGAATTCATTATGTATCATATATAAGGACTGCAAAGAACTAAAAGAAATCAAAACCCATTGTTCATAGGATTACCAAAATGAAAACCTCATTGATCATCTTTAGCAAATACTAAGAAATCAACTGATTATTCTACAAACTAGTAAATATCTTGCCTTTCTTGTACAAATTGTATTTCAGAGTAACCAGACAGTTGGTAAAAGAAAATTATTCTTTAGTTTCAGCTAATACATGCAGAAAGAATGATGGAATTAAATTATTACAATTTTGCAATTTCTAATGAAATAATGGACCTAGGCAATGATTGCCACTGGCTGATAAACGATTAGGTGAAAGGTTGATGGAGAACTTTCCTTAGACACATGGATGAGACTGATAACACCTAAACCCACTGAAAGACCCGAATGCTATTGCAAGAGAGATGATCAGATATTATGTGGCTTCTGATGAGATGCAGTAGGAAGTATACATCACTTGTGATGCAGTCTCATAAAAAAAAAATTGAACCTGGATATAGCTCTAACTACCAGTTTATACAGGGGATAAAGAAACACATTAAACTATACCATGGGCATGTAATTAAAAAAAAATCCAGAATGTGGGAAGTTCTCTAAGATAAATGACCCAACTTATTCAGTAAATACATGGCAAGAAGAAAAGAAAGAGGAAAAAGGAACCTATGGACTAAAAGAAAAGAGACAAGTCCACCAAATAAAGGAGTTGATCTTGTTTGGCTCCTCATTCAAACAAACCAGCTGTAAAAACAACAAAGAGAATGAAATGAAAGAGAGATGATCAAAACTCAGGAAAATGTAAGCAAGTTTGGAAGTTTGATAATATTAAGGAATTACTGGTGACATCATTAAGTGTGACAATGCTATTACGGTTACGGTAGAAAAAAAGAATCCTCGTATTTCAAAGATACATACTGAAATGTTTACAGATGAAATATAAAGTCTGGGATTCATTTAAGAATAATTTAATGGTAGGGCGGGAATAGGGCACATAGGAAGTAGATGGGTATATAGATGAAAAAAGAATGGCCATATGTTGAAAATTACTGAACGAGGCCATATGTTGAAAATTATAGAAGAAGAATGGTGGGTACATTGGGGCTTATTTTACTATCCTCTGCTTTTGAAGATGTGTAGCACTTTTCAAAATAAATAGTTAAAAAAAAATGAGGTTCTGAGATTCTTAAATAACTTTTTCAGTGTCAGACCACCGGTAAGTAACAGAGTCAGAACTCAAACAAAGGTCTTTTGCCCAGAACATAAAACAGCCACAGAGCAACACATCAAGGTCATTAGCGTTTGTTCAGGGCCAGCTCTGCATCTTGTGGGCTCCTGTGGAGACTTCAGAGGAGCATCTGACATGTTCCTTGCCCTAAGAGGTTTTTAATCTAGTTGGGGACACCAAAGACACACATAAAAAATTACTATACTGCAATGTAGATATTATTTGTTTTCTTAAAATGCTGTCACAGAGACACAAATATTCCCAGAAGACAGACGGATCAATCATGTTCGGAAATAAGTCCATGACATCCCTTTTCCCAAAAGACACCGTGAACAGTATTAAAAAGTTGTTATTTTCACGGAGTGGAAAAAGTACAAATAATTGGCCTCTCAGCCCATTTGGAAGCCTGAAAGCCACAAAGACAGACATTTTAGAACGCTTCCTGCTCCTTTTCCAGACATCGCCCAAATACCCTTTGGAGGGGTGTTCTTCATCTGGTAGCTTTTTAAATAGCAGAAAAATCACCTTCTTTTGATTACAGAAAGGACCTCACTACACGTTAAAAATCAGCTCTGAGTATCACGTTTCTAGATGGGAAGATGAACTGTTAACATAGGTTTAACTCAATCAAAATATGAAAACAAGATCATTCAGCGAGAATTACACAGTGGCGATGGCTGCACAACCTTGTGTCTGTACTAAAAACCATTGAGTTATACACTTTCTATGGTGAATTTTACTGTATGTAAATTATTGGGTTGTCGGACAAGTCATGACGCATTTTTACGATGAAAAACATAGAAAAAATACGTCATGACTTTTCCGACAACCCAATACATCAATTTCTTTTTTTCCCCCTAAAAAATAGTAATGTAAATCATGGCAGCAGACTTAAGACCCAAAAGTGACTCTGGCCATTTACAGCTCTTAAGTGAATGGCTATTCAGTGTTGAAAGGTATTTCCCAATATATAAGTACATAATGTATGTGTATACATAAAGTATGTGTAGGTATATAATGCTCCCAAGTTATAAATTTTCATCTAAATACATACCTACATAGAGATTTCAGGAGAGATGTTGTCTAATGAAATAAAGACAGTGTTTTACCTTTTAACAAATATTTGCAGAGCACGACTATATCAGACAATAAAATGTAATGGAAAGGGTCCCACTCCCGAGGAACTTAAGAGTCTAACAGGAAGTAAAGGCACATATGCAGGTAGGGAAGGTGTGGTCCCAGGGTAACCAGGGGTTGCTCTGGCAACAAAAGGGCGCCCGGCTCTAAGGAGTCCTGAGACCTGAGAAGCCTCCTGCAGGCAAGTGTAAACTGAGGCCCGAAAGCAGGACCTGGCCAAGAAAACAAGGTAAGAAAAGAATTACCTGTGGCAGGTAGAATTTAGACATTTTTCTTCTTCTTTTTTTCATTTTTAAAAATTAGCTTTAGGTGTACAAAACCTTCTTTCTTCTTTATACTTTTTTGGATTGTTTGCATTTTTATAAAGGCTAGTTATTTTAACCATAAAAAATTTTTTGGGGAAGAAACTATAACCACGTGTAGTTGACATGTTGCTGTCTGTACTTATAGGTCACCGTCCTGGGCAGGCTTGTGCCCACACCCCCACCTGCCCTCCATCACTGACCATGACCTGTTGGGTTGGGGTAGGCACCTGACCCGGAGACAATTGGAAAAACTGGCCAGAAGTCCACAAGGTGGCCTGCACGGGAGGTCGTTTGATGGTGGTGGTGGTGGTTGTACATCGGGTAACTCAATTGTACAACTAAATGCCACTGAATTGTTCACTTTAAAACTGTTACAGTGGTAAATTTTATGTTATGTGTATTCTAAGTACAATTTAAAAAATTAAAATAAGAAAAGCCACTTTCAAAAAATATATATATATATGAGTATAAATATATAAACAAAAAAAAATTGAGTACAACCTAAATGCACACCAGTAGAGAAGTGGCTAAAAATATTACAAGATATTCCTATACCGTAACAGAATACATTTTAAAAACTCTTACGTGAAAGGCCATTTAGTGTTGAAAAGCGTTTTCATATATATATACATATATACATATATATGTATATATATACATACACACACACACACACACATATGCTTAATGTTTGCAGGAGATAAAACCACAAACTACAAGGAAAAAATTAAGATCCTAATAAATTAATGGGCAAATTATATGGATAGGCACTTTACAAGGGGATATATAAATTATAGACAAAACTGGAAAATTATTGCCCTTCTGTAATAACGAAATTATAGTAATAAAACATCTTCAGGTAGGAAGGATAGCGGGAGGGAGGAGGAAGGATGGAGGAAAGCAGGGAAGGTGAAAGGGATGGAGAGAAGGAAAGAAGGAAGGAAGGCGGCAAGGGGAGAAAGAAAGGGAGGAGGAAAGAAGGATTAAAGGTGGGAAGGAGGGGGAAGGGAGAGAGGAAGGAAGCCAGAGCCATGGTGAGACTGAGACTGAGCTGGTTTCATGTCTTCTATGACTGTTTCTGCCTCT